TTTTGAACTATGAACACTCACCGTGGTTTATATAAGTTCAACAGACTTGTTCCTGGAATAAAATCGGCACCAGGCGCATTTCAGCAAACGATTGAAAATATTCTAGCAGGCATTCAAGAAGCAACGCCCTACCTAGATGACCTCATCGTGGCAAGCAAAAGTTCCAATCAGCATTGTAAATCAATAAGCCAAGTACTACAGCGTTTCTCAGAATACAACATTACCGTTAATTATGATAAATGTGAGTTTTTCCAACTTAAAATCAAATACTTAGGTCACATAATCGATTCTGACGGCATTCGACTGGATCCAAGTAAGATCACTGCTATTACAAATTTACCAAGGCCACCGAATGTGAGAAGCAAGGCAAATCCTCGGATGAGACGTTTAAAGGACTACAATTTGAGGGCATGCACCTGGAATGTCCGGACTCTTAATAGGGAAGGTTCCTCTGCCCGGCTGGTTGATGTCCTCGTAAGGACAAAAGCTGACATCACCGCCATCCAAGAAATGCGTTGGACGGGGAAAGGCAAGCAATGTCTGGGGCCTTGCGATGTCTACTACAGCTGCCATGTAAAGGAGCGCAAATTCGGTGTTGGATTTGTGGTGGGAGAGAGACTCCGTCGCCGAGTACTGTCGTTCACCCCGGTGGACGAGCGTCTAGCCATAATCCGCATCAAAGCGAGATTCTTCAACATCTCGCTCCTTTGCGCCCATGCCCCGACGGAAGAGAAGGATGAGGCATCCAAGGATCTTTTCTATGAGCGCTTGGAGCGCACGTACGAGCGCTGCCCCCGTCATGGTATGAAAATCGTGCTTGGCGACTTCAATGCCAGGGTGGGTAAGGAAGGGATCTTTGGAATCACCGTCGGAAAATTCAGCCTCCACGACGAAACGTCCGGCAACGGATTGAGGCTGATCGACTTCCGCCGAGGCCCGAAACATGGTAGTATGAAGTACTAGGTTCAAGCATAAAAAGATTCATCAAGCTACGTGGCTGTCTGCGGATCGAAAAACGAGAAACCAAATCATGATCATGTCGAGCCCTAACCGCCAAAATAACGTAAGCGACATTTTTTTAAAAATTTTCTTTTTGATGCAGAAATATTCCAAGAGCGTCTAGATACATTTCTGCATCAAAAAGAAAATTTTGAAAAAAATGTCGCTTACGTTATTTTGGCGGTTAGGGCTCGATGTTGTGATAGACGGAAGGCACGCTTCCAGTGTTTTAGACGTACGCACACTCCGAGGCCCAAAAATCGACTCGGACTACTATCTTGTTGCAGCCAAGATACATATGCGACATATGCGAGCAGTGCAACCATATTTCGCGCTCATTAAGTACCGCCGCCGAAGAAGTAATCGGATTTAAGCGAGCCCGAAAAAACAACTGGTACGATGAGGAGTGTCAGGAAGCTACAAAAAAAAAAAAGATGTCGCCTAAAGGGCCACGCTGCGATCGGGCGCAACGCGCGCTATGTGGGACCACTATAGGGATCTGAAGAGGGAAGCGAGACGCATTTGCCGCAATAAGAAGAGAGAGGCCGAAATTAGAACTTGTGCGCTCTGAGCTTATTAATTTACATAAGCTATATGATGAAGTGGTTGCTGGTGCGCTTACCTCGCTCACATCAGAGGTCAAGGAACTACATTGCAGCGCTAGCATAAAAAAGGGAAAGATAGGTAGAGCTAAAAACACACAAAACAAGCAAACTGCCGAAAAGCAAAATAACAACACAAAACTTCCTAGTGATGAGCTCAGTAATAACAATGCTGAGAGTACAGCAGTGACAGCTGACAAAGTTTTTGTTGATAAAAATGTTGTTAGCACTGGTAATATTAATGATGTCTCACATGCAAATGCAGCTGAAGCTCACAGTGCTGTTGATCTCTCTCGAACCGCTGCCGTTATCGACGTCACCGGAGAGAAATCAATCAATTCAATTACACCTAATGACGCTGCTACTGCTTCGCTACCGTCATATGCTAACGTCATTACTGCCACTGTGCCATCGCCACCGTCACATGATAATGTTGCTGCCGCTGCTCATAGCGACTCTTCACCTGCAGTTGATGTTATCAATGCACCCAGTAGGAATCATTTTACGGGTGAACTTTTAGTAATTGGAAGTAATACGTCGAATGAACTGGAGGTTGCTAGTCACACTAAATGGGTTCATCTGTCGTCTTTCAACACCTCGGTAACTGCTGATAATATCATCGCCTATGTAGCCAAGCATGCATCTATTGACCCGAAATTTCTGCTTTGCTTCGCTCTTGTGAAAAAAGGCGTGAATGTCGAGTCGCTAAGACGAGTTAGTTATAAACTCGGAGTGTCGTCGACTTGTTACAACAAATTGCTTGACCACTCACTTTGGCCAGCGGGTATCAAGGTGCGGCCATTTCAAAATTTTCAATAAACAGGGGAGGTAGCGTTGGTAGTCAAGTGACGTCCTCCCGAGCTACAAATCATTGCAACGAGCTAACCAGCCCAACGTCACTTAAATCATTTTCAATATTTTATCAAAATGCAAGCGGCATACGAACAAAATCTAATAAATTTAGGATTGCTTCAGCATTACATGAATATGATATTGTTGCTATCACCGAAACCTGGCTATGTGAACAAATTTCCAGCTCCGAGTTCTTTAACAACCATTACACTGTCTATCGCCATGATAGGTGCCCTATTGCTAGTGGCTGCGCTCGAGGTGGAGGAGTGTTATTAGCAGTTAAATCTAGCCTAAATAGCAGTTTAGTAGCCTTGCCCTTTGCTGATAAATTAATCGAACAAGTCTGTATAGATGTATCAATTTCTAATGTCAAACGTATTTTCATCTTTATATCTTATATTCCGCCTAACTCTAGTTTTAATGTTTATGAACAACATATAAATAACATAAAATTTGTCAGTGAATCTGTTGCACCTAATGGGCAGGTAATTGTTATGGGTGATTTTAACTTACCTGACATTATTTGGTCATTTGACAATGGCTGGCTACTACCCTTTAATATTAAATCCGATATTGAATCTTGTGTCACTAGTTTCTTTTTATCTAACAATTTTCAACAATTGAATCTGTTTGCAAATTCCAATGACAAAATACTGGATTTGGTATTTGCAACAGAAGATCTCAAGTTAGCATGTGAATTGAATTTGTCACCCATATCACGAAACACAACTCATCATAAGGCTTTGACTATTAAATTCGAATTTCTAAGTTTTCAGCGTCTTAATAAGAACCCCGAGCCTCTATTATGTTTTAGAAAAGCCAACTTCGATGCTTTGAACACCTTTCTTAACCGCACTAACTGGGATTTTTTAGATTTCATAGAAGATCCAGACTTAATTTATACAAATATTTGCGACATTTTATCCGATGCTGTCAATAAGTTTGTGCCTTTGAAATCCTCCAAGTCCAAAAATAAACCACCTTGGTTCAACGCGGAATTAAGCCATCTAAAAAACATTAAAAGTAAAGCTCTAAAAAAATACAGAAATTCGAAGTCTCCCGTGGACCTT